CCACCACATCCACATCGGTCTAGTGACACAGTGAAATGCTTGTGTTTCTAGCTCCAACAGTGCAGTAATAACTATCAATAAAAACAATACACACATAATTCCCCCAAATAATGTTTTATATAGGATGAACCATGACTACAATACAGTATATACATACTGTATAAAGTGGGTGAAACAGTATGTAAACGTTATTAAAGTGACTAATGTTCAATGACTCTATGTAGATACAGTGGGGGAAAAAAGTATTTAGTCAGCCACCAATTGTGCAAGTTCTCCCACTTAAAAAGATGGGAGGCCTGTAATTTTCATCATAGGTACACATCAACTATGACAGACAAATTGAGAAAAAAAAATCCAGAAAATCACATTGTAGGATTTTTAATGAATTTATTTGCAAATTATGGTGGAAAATAAGTATTTGGTCACCTACAAACAAGCAAGATTTCTGGCTCTCACTGACCTGTAACTTCTTCTTTAAGAGGCTCCTCTGTCCTCCACTCGTTACCTGTATTAATGGCACCTGTTTGAACTTGTTATCAATATAAAAGACACCTGTCCACAACCTCAAACAGTCACACTCCAAACTCCACTATGGCCAAGACCAAAGAGCTGTCAAAGGACACCAGAAACAAAATTGTAGACCTGCACCAGGCTGGGAAGACTGAATCTGCAATAGGTAAGCAGCTTGGTTTGAAGAAATCAACTGTGGGAGCAATTATTAGGAAATGGAAGACAGGCTCCACGCAAGATCTCACACCGTGGGGTCAAAATGATCACAAGAACGGTGAGCAAAAATCCCAGAACCACACAGGGGGACCTAGTGAATGACCTGCAGAGAGCTGGGACCAAAGTAACAAAGCCTACCATCAGTAACACACTACGCCGCCAGGGACTCAAATCCTGCAGTGCCAGACGTGTCCCCCTGCTTAAGCCAGTACATGTCCAGGCCCGTCTGAAGTTTGCTAGAGTGCATTTGGATGATCCAGAAGAGGATTGGGAGAATGTCAGATGAAACCAAAATATAATATAATACATTGCCAACAAAGGGTATATAACAATGTATTGAGAAACTTTTGTTATTGACCAAATACTTATTTTCCACCATAATTTGCAAATAAAATCATAAAAAATCCTACAATGTGATTTTCTGGAATTTCTTTTCTAATTTTGTCTGTCATAGTTGACGTGTATCTATGATGAGAATTACAGGCCTCTCTCATCTTTTTAAGTGGGAGAACTTGCACAATTGGTGGGTGACTAAATACTTTTTTCCCCCACTGAAGGTCAGCGGTCTTTAAGGTGCAGGTTAGAGTACCGGGTGGTAGCCGGCTAGAACAGTGACTAAGGTTCAGGGCAGGGTACTTGGCGGTGTTGTGTTGACTGTTTAACCGTCTGATGGCCTGGAGATAGAAGGTGTTTCTCAGTCTCTCGGTCACAGCTTTGATGCACCTGTACTGTCTACGCCTTCTAGATGGTAGAGGGGTGAACCGGCCGTGGCTCAGGTGGCTGAGGTCCTTGATGTACTTGGCCTTCCTGTGACACCGGGTGCTGTAGATGTCCTGGAGGGCAGCTAGTGTGCCCCGGTGATGCTTTGGGCTGACCGCACAACCCTTTGGAGAGCCCTACGGTTGTGGATGGCGCAATTGGGGGCATTCCCTCTTTTCTATCTCCTGTAGTCCTTGATCAGCTCGTTTGTTTTGTTGACATTGAGGGAGAGGTTATTTTCCTGGCACCACTCCGCCAGGGCTCTCACCTCCTCCCTGTAAGCTGTCTCTCATCATAAGTAGGCTTGGCAGAGGTCGATTTTGCTGAACATTTGACCCCCAGTTCCCACATATCCTGATTCCACCATCATTCTTCAGGACTTGTACGATGGGTGTTACCCATTCACTCACGCTGATAGGCTCCAGTACTTTGTTCCTAACTAAAGCGTCCAAGTCAGCCTCGACTTTTGGTTTGATTGTATAAGGTACGTGTCGTGCTTTCAGAAACATTGGTTTGCTGTCTGGCATAATGCTAAGCTTCACTCTCTTTCATACTACCCATTTCTCGATTAAAGACTTCTCTTTAAGGCTTTTCTTTAAGATGGCGGGTAGGCCTATTTCTCCATGTGTCATTGTACGCAATGATGGCCAGTCCAGTGTGATTTTCTCCAACCACGAACGTCCCAGTATTGATGAATAGTCTACTTTCACGACGTAGAGTGGCAGTTGTTCAGTTTGTCAATACTTTCATCAAACTGTCCAATGTTTCCAACAATTCCAGCCATTTGTTGTTTTCTCCATAGTCTCTTGATTGTCACTTACTTCAGTATTGTCCTCAACCTCCGCAAAATTTTCATCAGTCAGGTGATCTTCATTCACTTCACTCACTGACGTTTCCTCAAGTTTCACTCATCTAGCAGTTTTTAATTCCAAAGTTCGTCTTCACAGTTTAATAAATGTATTTTACTCACTTTATATTTGACTTACTCCTATTTTAATCACGTTGTTTCCCGCTCCGATGACCATCTCAAATCCTTTTCTACCATCCATGACGATGCTTACTCTCGCTCTCTTAGCTAGCTGGACTATGCACTTGCCTCTGTTAGCAATACACTGTGCTAATATTAGCCTAGACCAGTGGTCACCAACCTTTTCTAAGTCAAGATCACTTTCTGAGTCAAAATGTAAGCCGAGATCTACCGCTCCGATGTTTTAAATACATGACTTAAAAAACATAAGCCTATGCATCATTAACCAATTAAAAACAGTTCTGTAGCAATGAGGTTTGTTCAATAGGCTATAGTCCCAAAACAATATCACTGCGTATTGGCTATGCGTGAATTGCCCTGCCAATGTTATTCTTCTAAGACCATTTTGAAATTAAATATGTTTTTAAATGTATGTGATCACACTGGTAATAGATCATTTGTTGTATTACTTGTGAGGCACTGCTGAATAAGCATAATAATTTGCATATTTTCTTTACTGGATTGATGGCCTGCATCTGATGGTCAGTCTTAAGGGGAGGGAGGGAGCAGCGGTGAGGCTGCCTCTCACCAGAGTGATCCGACTCATCCTCCCTCCACTGGCAACAAAGGGACACAGTCTTTCAGCTGATGGCGAAACTTAAGTAGCACTGCATTATTTCAGCCTCATGCACCAATTCATGTTGTTAATCCGATAAAGTGAATTTTTTATTGATATAAAAAAAGAGACAAGCCGCTAATAACAACAACGCAAGCTATTGAAACACTTTGCTATACTCATTCATTGCAGATGCAGTGCTGGTTGTAGTGTGAATGGAAGTAGGGAGAACGCGCATTTTATGTCTTCTAAAAGTGTTGAACGAAGCGTTGATAGTGTTGAATAACAACTTAAACATGAACTTACTCATAAAAACAGTAGTGCTTTGCTGTATTCGTTGAGTCTCTAGTCATGGTTTTGAAAGTTTTGAAATCTCACAGTATCAACTTTGCTGTGCACTCTAGGCTCCTTTATGCAGTCCATGGCTTGAGTTCTACCATCAGACACATGAAATGTTTCAAAATGGGAACACTTTGCCCTCCCAGTGCTTTGCCCTCCCACCTACTGCCAACAGTGCGAAACAAATAAAAATAAATAAGAACGCAAGGCGTTATAGTTGGGTTTTTTACAGAAATGTTTGGTGATCGACTAGGATTGCCTTGGAGATCGACTGCTTGGTGACTGTACCCGGAAAAATAACAATTTTAAACATGTGAAAAACGACTTCTTCCGGTTCAGACTTACTCGTTGTTATGTCTTGTGGGTTTCATAATCAAGTCTTCATAACAATTCAATAATGATGAGACGGGAGACAGAAATTAGTTCAACCATTTATCTGGAACGTGCTCGTTCTCAACACTCTCAACTCCCATGATGCTCTGCGGCACAACCCCAATACACCACAGTGATGTGTTATCACGTTCGGAGGAAAATGGAGAGTGCGCCTTGAGCTTTGCGTGTCGTCCCCAGCCCGCGTGACCTGCAAATTCCGTGAATCTGATTGGTCAAAACACGCACAGAGCCTGCAGTAGCACTTGGATGTGAAGGACAGAGAGATTGTGCGCAAGTTGACAAATCATGAGGCAAAGCGGAATAAAAACAGCACTTTGCTCCTCTTTTTAACGCTTTTGTATCAATATTAATGTTTTATTTATACACAAATATTGACCTCGAAGATTGCCATTTTCCCATTCACTATAATGAGGATCCTGTTTTCGGAAAACAATGCCTACAGTACCACATTTCAGGTTAAGGCATACAGCCTGATCACAGGAGGTTGGTGGCACCTTAATTGGGGTGTGGAATAAGTGGAATGGCATCAAATACATCAAACATGGTATAGTTACAATAACCTCAAAATGTGGCCATGGATGTGTAACGCATTTTAAGGTTGAACAGTTTGTAAGATAGCCTTATTAACTTTAGGCTATTTACTGTATTACAAAAGTAATATTGAATTATCAACATTTAAAGGAGATGTATCTACTGCTTGGTAGCCACAGGCTTAATCCCATTCTTTAACTTGTATTTTTGGTTGAGTTGGAGACGTGAATCCAACATCATTTATTAACTTGTCGACAAGTTAATAGGCTATTTATTGTATTTCAAAAGTGATATTGAATTGTGTTTGATTGTCAATGCAACCAGATGTCTCCTTGGATAGTTCCATCTGTGCTACTAATTTAGTCTGGCTTTAATTCCAGTTTGTCTACAAATTAATAATGTATATTGTAGCCTATTAGAGGATCTGGAGGTGTGGCTTGATGGAGGCGTGGCCTTAGGTTAGCTCTGTTGCATATCCACCCGTGGAAGAAAGTGTCATGCCAGTTCAAGTGTTATGTTGTACTGTGACAGCTCAGAAGACTTATTGAGACTAATATAAGTGTATGTGATACCAAAGAGTGTACTAGAGTACCATTGTTAAGAAAGTCACCTTCTCTTACACTAGTGTCAGAAGTGGGATAGCTATACACCTATGCCTTGACATGATGGTAGTGATGGGAAGTTCGGCTCTTTTCTGAGAGCCGGCTCTTTTGACTCGGCTCCCAAAGAAGAGCCGGCTCTTTCGACTCCCGAACGGCTCTTTATTTAGGATCTTTTGTAGCCTATATTTTACCTTAACTTTGAAAAAAAATCATGGTTTATGTGTTGAAAACCCTTTTGCTTTCAGTGTTTTTATGAGAGACCTTATAATGCCTAATTCTGTGCATTTATTCTGTGACAAAACCACTCTTACATTTGTTTATTTCAATTAAACTTTTTTATTGCACAAATTAACAATAAACTTCAAACAAATCCACAGAACAGAATCAAAACCAGAACCAAACTCCAGCAAACAGCATTAGTCCTCAGGGCAGGTTGGCATTCAGGAAGATCAGATGCCTCAGCTTGGATGGGCTGATACGATTTCGCCTCTCCGTGAGTATCTGCCCTGTTTTGGAGAAGATTCTCTCAGAAGGAACTGATGTGGCAACAATACATAGTCTCCCCTCCATCACCTTCACCAGGAGTGGAAAGACTGAGGCCTTGGCCTGCCACCAGCTCAGTGGGTCTTCTGCTCTCTGGATGAGGGGCTCCTCAAGGTAGCTCCTCACCTCCATTATAGCATCAGCTGTCGGATTTCTCCTTGAAGCATCTCCTGTAGCTCTGTCATCAAAAAGCCTCCAAACAGCAGAGGTTTGCTGCTCCTCCTCCACTTGGCCCTGTAATGGTGGAGCTGGCTGGCTGCTGGGGGTGCATTTTGCTGCTGCTGCTGCACTAATCCTCTGAAGAGCTTCATCAACAGCTCTACGATCACTGAAGGCAAGTTTTTTAAACCTTGGATCCAATAAGGTAGTTTCTGAAAGGACAGTGTTGTACTCCATCCGCAGAAATTTGCGGTCCATGGCTGAACAAAGAGCTGCAACTAATTCCTTCACTTTCTGCACAGTTACTGTCCATTGGTTCTCGGCTGTCACCAGCTGCAGACCTTTGCAAAGCAGGAGCATTTTCGAGGCTGTGACATAGCTGAAGGAGAGAAAACAGCAACTTTTAGAATTTAGTTTTTTAAAAGTATGTGGCATATTATACGTGATGCATTATACTGTATGTGTTGTGTTTGCAATGTATAATAGTGACTGAATAGTAGTAGAGAAAACAATGCTTCAATGGTTCTAGGTACCTGTCTGCACTTATCTCCACAGTCACCTCCTGGAATGGTTGCAGGACGGCGCAGACCTCTTTCACCAGCTCCCATTCCTCTTGGCTTAATGGCTCAATAGATGCGTTGATGAGGGCCAGGGTGGAGATGATGGCATCTTTTATTTCAAGCATTCGTTTCAACATATCAAATGTTGAGTTCCACCTGGTGGCACACTCTTGTTTGGGCCTCAGTTCAGGAATCCCCATTTGGCGCTGTGTGGACTTTAGCTTCTGTGCTGCTACTGTGCTTTTGTGGAAAAACTCCACAACAGCCTTCACCTTATCCACGGTTGTTTTGATCACCTTCAGAGCATCTCTAACCACCAGGTTTAGTGTATGCGCCAGACATGGGTGATGGGTCCACTTCAAAACTTTTATGGCTTTGGTGATGTTTGCAGCATTATCACTCACACAGCACACCACTTTGTCCTCTACTTGCCACTCTTTTGCCACTCTTAGTAGCTCCACTGCCAAGTTTTCTGCAGTGTGTCTGTCGGTGAACTCGAAGCAGTCCAGAAGGCAAGATGTCATCTTGTAATCTTCAATAAAGTGGCAAGTGACAGACATGAAAGAGCAGGTTGTTCTGGAGGTCCAGCAGTCAGTTGTCAGGCAAACTGATGGAGCTTTTGTCACCCTTTCTTGCCATAATGCACGTTCTGTGTCATATAGTTTTGGGATCATTGTTTGGGAAAGTGTTTTTCTACTGGGTAGAGTGTATGTGGGATTTAGGGCTTTGACAAAGTTTTTCATTCCTTTGTCCTCCACAATGGAAAAGGGTTGAAAATCAGAAGCTACCATTTTAGCCAACTCATCATCAATACTGTGCTGTTTGGCTGGGGTCATCAGTTTAGGTAAAAGTTTAGGTAAAAACTGACTTATTTTGCTTTGAGTTGCAGTAGGAGAGGTTATACTTGCACGCATGGGGATGGCAGTAGACGTTACAGCAGCTGTTGTTCTGGTATGAGACACACCAGGATCAGTAGATGGTGAGCTGGCTTGCCCTCTCTCCTCTAACTGCACTGTAGGATGGACAGTTCTTGTATGTCTATGCAGGTTTGTGGTGGAACCTGCTCTTATAGTGACCTTCGTTTTGCAGTGAAGGCACTCTGCTTTCTTGTTCCCAATATCTTTAAACTGCAGCCAGATGCTGCTTCGCTTTCTAGTGTCACTCATAGTTAAACGACACGACAATGCAAGACGCACACACGCTCCTCAGTCCGCTCTGTCTCTCTCTTCACTTGCAGTGGAGTCAAGTGGTGTGTCTGCCCCGCCCCCTCTCTGTTTACACATCCTTAATTCTCACGTGAATGCCGCATGCTGGTCGCCATGCTGGCCAATCATAACAGACCTCTGTGAAAGTGAAACCTAAGCAGCGAATGGGCAAAAAACTGGGAGCCGGCTCTCACTCGATGCGAGCCGGCTCTTCTGATTCACTACAAAGAGCCGGCTCTCAGAGCCGATGCTTGTGCGCATGACCCATCACTACATGATGGATGACACTGTGAATCAGCTGGCAAAGAAGACTGGGCAAGAAGAGGCGCTGAGCTCTCTGAGTTGAGAAGCTTTGTTGGCCTATCTTCTTACTACCGAAGGGCCATTCATTGTGGACACAGATGCCAGCAATGTGGGCATTGGGTCCTTTCTTTCGCAGGAGGAGCCGGATGGGGAACGGGTGGTTGCAGTCAGAGCCTCAACAGTGCTGAGCGCAACTACTGTGTCACCCGGCGAGAGTTGTTTGCTGTGGTCGATGCACTCCATCATTTACGACCCTACCTCTACAGTACTCCTCCGTACTTACCATATATCTCATTCACCTGGCTCCTCAACTTCCGAGAACCACATGGCCAGGTGGCTCGCTGAATAGAAGAGTTACAGGAGTATGACTACCAGATGCAACACCGGCTGGTCATCTCCAAACAAATGCTGATGCGTTGCTTCACCGGCTGTGTGAAGAGGAAGACTGCAAGCACTGCTCATGCTTGGAACAAAAGGAGAGTCTAATGCCCACAGTGGCGGCAAATCAGGCGGCAGACAGGAGCTCAACATCCTTGGAGACCTGGAATGACCAAGACCTGAAGAGGGAGCAGGAGGGTGACCCAGTGTTGGTAACTGTTCAGGGCCAGCGGCCTGCCTGGAACAGAGTCTTACCCCTGTGCCCTGAAGCCAAGGCCTACTACTCCCAATGGGACAACCTTTCCATTCACAATGGGGCGCTTTTTCAAAGATGGAGGGAACCAACATGCAACTCGGTGGTGTGGAGCGGTTGGTGCCTCGTTCCATGCATGCCCATGCCCTCAGAGCTGTCCATGGGTTGGTGGGGGCAGGCCACTTCGGGTACACAAAGACCCTCCAATGCCTCCGAGGGAAACTCTAATGGGCTGGCTGCCGACAAGACAATGAACAGTATGTGCATGCCTGCGACACTTGTACTGCCCACATAGGACCAACTGGATGCTCCCATGCCCTGTTGTAGCAGTACCAGGTGGGGGCCCCCATGGAGCGGGTTAGTGTGGACATCCTTGTTCCTTTCCCCATGACAGACGCGGGCAATCAATTCGTACTTGTGGCCAGGGCACCACAACCACTGCCAACAAGCTGGTGGAAGAGATGTTCTGCCGATTTGGAGCACCTGAAGAACTCCACAGCGATCAGGAGAGACATTTTGAAGCTAAGGTGTTCAACAAAGTCTGTGAGAAGCTGGCAAGACAAGGACCACCCCCCTTCATTCCCAATGCAATGGGCTCGACGAACGGTTTAATTGGACTTTGGCAGTACAGCTGGCCACTCTCACATCCAACCACCAGAAGGACTGTGACTGACATCTGCCATTGGTCTTGTAGCTGCATACCAGCAGCGCTGATGTTTGGCAGAGAACTACGCACTCCAGTGGACTTGGCACATTGGCACATTTTTCAACTAGTCGGTTCGGGGATTCGAACCAGCGACCTTTCTGTTACTGACCTTAATTGCTAGGCTACCTGCTGTCTCCATCTCAACCAAAAAATCTAAGTTAAAGAATAGGACTAAATCAAATCAAACTTTAAATCGCTTTAAATTAAGTTTGATTTGATTTAGTCCTATTCTTTAAATTAGATGGAGACATGAATCCAACATATCAGTTATTAATTTGTAGGCAAACTGGAATTAAAGCCAGACTAAGTTAATGGCACAGATGGAACTATCCAAGCAGAATATGAATCTCCTCTTAAATATCATTACATTTAAAATCAACCAGAGCTTGAAACCCTAGGCCTATTATTGTCTAGTTTTAGTTCAATTCTGGGCTGAATTGAAACAATAGTGACTTGCTATATAGGCCTGAATAGCATCATTGATGATAATATGAGTGATAAAGTATGGTCACATTTAATGTGCTCTGGGACATTTCCATTGAAATAACCCCATGAGCACCAACATGTGAATTTCATAGGAACATATCAAATTTGGTGTCAAATGAAATAAATAAATAAGCAAACACGTTTGGTGTTTGCCAAAGGGCATGTGGGAGACTCCCCAAACATGGAAGAAGGTACTCTGGTCAGATGAGACTTAAATTGAGATTTTTGGCCATCAAGGAAAACGCTATGTCTGGCGCAAACCCAACACCATTTTTCATCGGCAGGGACTGGGGAACTTGTCAGAATTGAAGGAATGATGGATGGCACTAAATACAGGGAAATTATTGAGGGAAACCTGTTTCAGTCTTCCAGAGATTTGAAACTGGGACGGAGGTTCACCTTCCAACAGGACAATGACCCTAAGCATACTGCTAAAGCAACACTCAAGCGGTTGAAGGGGAAACATTTAAATGTCTTGCAATGGCCTGGTCAAAGCCCAGACCTCAATCCAATTGATAATCTGTGGTATGACTTAAAGATTGCTGTACACCAGCGAAACCCATCCAACTTGAAGGAGCTGGAGCAGTTTTGCCTTGAAGAATGGTCACAAATCCCAGTGGAAAAAAGTGCCTCTACAAAGTATTGACTTTGGGGGGGAATAGTTATGCATGCTCAAGTTTTCTGTTTTTTTTGTCTTATTTCTTGTTTGTTTCACAAAACAGTTTTTTATTAAGGCACATTAAAGTTTCTGCCAAAAAACACATTTTGATTTTAATGGCTCTCCTGTGAAGTAGTGACGCGCGACATACGCCTAGTTTTCTGAAATGAGTCACATATAAGGAAATCAGTCAATTGAAATAAATTCATTAGGCCCTAATCTATGGATTTCACATGACTGAGAATACAGATATGCATCTGTTGGTCACAGATACCTTTATGAAAATGGGCCTCACAATGGGCCTCTGGATCTCGTCACTGTATTTTTGTGCATTCAAATTGCTATCGATAAAATGCAATTGTGTTCGTTGTCTGTAGCTTATGCCTGCCCATACCATAACCCCAATGCCACCATGGGGCACTCTGTTCACAACGTTGACATCAGCAAACCGCTCACCCACACGACGCCATACACATGGTCTGCGGTTGTGAGGCCAGTTGGATGTACTGCCAAATTCTCTAAAACGATGTTGGAGGCAGCTTATGGTAGAGAAATTAACATTCAATTCTCTGGCAACATCTATGGTGAACATTCCTGCAGTCAGCATGCCAATTGCACGCTCCCTCAAAACTTTTTGTTGCATTGTGTTGTGACAAAACTGCACATTTTAGAGTGGCCTTATTGTCCCCAGCACAAGGTGCACCTGTATAATGATAATGCTGTTTAATCAGCTTCTTGATATGCCACAGCTGTCAGGTGGATGGATTATCTTGGCAAAGGTGAAATGCTCACTAACAGGTATGTAAACAAATTTGTGCACCAAATTTGAGCGAAATAAGCCTTTTGGGCATGTGGAAAATATCTAGGATCTTTTATTTCAGCTCATGAAACATGGGACCAACACTTTACATGTTGCATTTACATTTTTGTTCAGGAAATGTCGTGCAGCTGAGAGCTGGGTGAACCGAATCACACAGGGTTGTGACAGCTAAGGACACTGTGTCCTGTTGTGGTTGCCGTTCATATGTTCATGCTCTCCCCATTGAGTAGACTGTCCCACAGTGACATCTAGATGGCTACCAATATTAGTTATTTTTTTGTGTAGGCTGCTATCCTGCTTGAAATATAATTCTGGGAGGGAAAAAACGCCAGCTACGTTGTGATACAGCTGCCGAGTGGGAGAAGCACCTAGGTCAGCAGGCACCTCGATACAACACCGGTGCACTGGTCATTCGCACTGGCTTTAGCGGCCCACAACATGGCTTATGTGTAAAATGCGGGCTATCAATAAAAAAAAACTTTGCACTGGTAATATGGGAAAATATCCTTTGAACTTCTACATTTAGAAACAAGACATTTTCTCTGTAGTAATGGTGAAAACATAATGGTCACGAACGAATCTGCGCTCAGTTTATTCTCTATGAAACTCAGAGGCTGCGGTACAGCAAGCCTATCATCACAACAATTATTATCTGGCTTATTTTTTTCTAGGTCGCACAGCAAGATATTTACGAGCAATTTAGAGCAGACCGAAATGGCTTGTGTCAACTTGAGCTAGCTAACTAGCTAACAAGCAAACGTCAACCAGCTAGCTAGCTAGGTTGGCAAATAAAAGATGTAGTAATTCAATGTTGGCTAGCAATAAAGATACTTATAAACATGTCAAGGTACCTACCCAGCAGCTGCAGAAAATATTCTTCCACTTCACCGCCGCTTCAAGAAAATATTTACTAAAATAGTCTGAGCTTCATGTGTCTCACCCGATAGCATGAGGTTGGCGCCTGAAACTGATCATTTGAATCTACAGTAGGCATAAGCTATTACTATAAAGAAATACAGTATGTTAGAGCGATTTTTACAGGAGGCTTCCAATTACCGTTAATAACGGTATTTTTCAGCATTTTACCCATAATGCAGTGTAATCTACAGCTGTGCATTCTATAGTGTTTTACTGTTGAAATTACAGAAAAATCTTACGGTGTGTGTTGTTGCAGGGGTCATAAAATGGATTACTATTACTAAGTCAGCTAACACTTTGCTATCGTTAAGAAGGCCTTGCTGTACCACAGAATTGTTAAGAAGGCGAGGCGATAGCCCAATCCATCAGCTCTGTTTTAACCCTCTAGAGTTTAAGCCCTGTCTAAACTGGGGGAGATTCTAAAATAGCATATTGAATT